CATATGTCCATCAAGAAACAGAAAATAAAATTGAATAAGATTTATTTCCTGAAAACTGATCAAAGAAAGATTGAAGACGATTTAACGATAAACAAAGCAATGTAAGGTAGATCAGTGTAAAAAATTGCAATACCCTCTAATATTGCTGATCAAAAACTTTTTGCCATAGCCTAATTTAGCCAAACAATAATTTCTGTTAAAATTATAGGAAATAGTGAAGCTTGTGTGACGGGGGCAACAATTTCCTTGCTTTCACTTAATTATCTTTTTTCTCTCATTCACCCCTCAGGGGGCTCTGAAACGTATGGATCCGTTAAAAAACGCATATCGGAAATTTGACCCGATTGCAATACTTTCCTTAACTAGCATAGAATATGCAGTTTCATCGCTAATACTGGTTCGATTCCGATGATTTTTTTTTTTGGTAGTTTAATTACCTTTCAAAAGTTTTATTATAAATTTTACCATAGAATATATACTTAGCGAGTTAGGCCCCAAAACATTTTTCTATTCTTTATAACTTTTTTTCTTGAATTTTCTCGGGAATTTAGTCCATATACAAAGATTGACAAAACAATTATTAGAACATTATAGGTAAGTTTCATCAAAATCGTTACAGCCGTTTTCGCGCTACAGTCTATAGAAAAATATGTTTTTCATTTATTGCGCATGGAGCATCCAATTAGTGTTACAGGCATCAGTATTCAAAACGCTACAAAATAAAAAAGAAGCAACAAAATCGGTTCAGTAGTTCCCTATAAAATCTTGACACAGACAGACAGACTAATAGCTAAAAATGTGTTTTTCGGACTCAGGGGGCTCTGAAACTGTATATTGGAAATTTGACCCGATTGCAATACTTTTCTTACCTAGTATAGGTAGGAAAGTAAAATTCTATTATATTACTTATGTACTTATACTGCAGGGAGAGAGAGCTGTAAAAATCCTTTCCTATGTAGAACTTTAAGTTTCCTTTCACCATATTATAGTCGTTCACACTTATAGTATATAATATTTTAATATAAAGTTGATACTATATTTTTACTATGTATATTTATATATAAATAAATAAATTTATTTATATATTTTTATTTTACTATATTTAAAGTGTATACTATATAGCAGTGAGTATAGGCGCTTGGGGCAAAGTCTTACCAGGCATCCCTCTCAAGCTCTTTCAAATCGGCCATCAGCCTCTTTTCTCATATTTATTAATGAAACATATTATATATATGTCTACATATAACATAAAACAGAGAAATTTTAAACTTAAGAAAACAACACCAAAACTGGAATAATTTCTTTGATAACACAATAAAAAACTAATAGTGGCTTAAGAATGATTTCGCAATACAAATGCAAGTTAGTTCTCTGTGTAACAGGGCTTTTTCTGGAAGTTGGGAAACTGAAAAAATTTGGAATATTGTTACCAATTAACGGATAACCCTCGTTTTGAACTTACATCAATGTCCATTGGATTTCGAATCTCTGGTCAGCTTTCAACTTTTTTAACAGCAATTTGAGTTAATACGGCTATTAAATAACGGCTATGGCTATTAAATAACGAGGCTGAAGTAAAATATTTGGTTTTTATTTAATACATATTTATTTACTTATCAGTTTTAATATACTTTTTTCCCCTTTTCCTGCAAATATTCATACGAATCTTCCATTGCCTTTTGCCTGAAACAGCGCTAGAACACTTCTAGAACTATTTTAAAATTTAAATTATACAAACGATCTACAATCTCTGATAGCTTGAAACTTGCTATCAAATATTTATCTCGCTGTATAATAAAAACCTTATCATATTTTATTACTTTCCTTATAGACATCAAATCAATCAAATGAATAATATCAGGAATTATAGAATTATCTTTAATATTTAAAGAGTCTAGTGGATTAAGCTGATAAGTAATATTTTTTTTTTAATTTTGAGAATATTCAATTCAAGGTTTTTGTAATAGTCAAAGAAAAGTTTCTAATTTTATTGAAGATAAAACATATTTTTTTAAAATCTAAGAGTACTTTGGTATACGCGGTCGCTTATAATCCGCCTTAGATATTTATTTATGTTACTTCTTTCCGCATCTACTCAAGCGGGCGCAAGCATAATTACCTGCACAGTACTGGGTATTCTTTTGAGCGAAACAATGGTGTCTTTGGATTCTCTAAACGCAGTCGAATATTCTGTTTAAAGAATCAACGATAATGAACTTCCATTAGTTACATTATCACAAAAGCTCAAATAGAACAGTAAACAATCAACAACAGCATAACGTTAAAAAAAGGATTTAAACGTTTTTGTATTCCCCGGAAACAAAATGGCGGAAATCGCATTTGTCCTAACCTATTGTAATATTTAAAATAAAATAAAAATGATGCAAAATAAAATAAAATGAAGCATAAAATCTAGTGGATGGAGAAAATTTATTTTAATCGTACTTTTTTTTTTTAAATATATGAATGGTTTCTTGCAAAAAGTCAATAAGTGATTTTTCATAACCTTAAATGACTAAGAACTTTAACGAATTTTCCCTTTGAGAAATCAGAAAGAGCTTGTTGTAACTATACATATATTTGATAGCAATATAAAAAATATCTGGTGTGTCCACTCATACGACTTTCGCACCTATTTCAGAAAAGTTTTTATATCTTTACATATGTTCATGAAGAAACAAAAAAGAATTAAACTAAATTTATTTTCCTGAAAATTGATCAAACATAAGATTTGAGTACGATTTATTTGATAAACTAGAGCAATGAAACAGGCTTAAGGTAGATCTATGTAAAAATTCGAATACTCATTAATATTGCTGATCAAAAACTTTTTGGAACAGCTTAGTATTGTCAAATAATAATTTCTTTTAAAAGTAGAGGAAATAGTGAAGATTGTGTGATGCGGGCAACAGATTTTCTAACTTTCACTTAGTCATCTTTATTCTCTCATTCACCCCTTTCTGACACCAGAAAATGAACTCGTAATCTTTCATTGGAAATTGAATAGCTGTAACTTCGTTAATAGTGAACGATTTTTATATGGCTTTGTAGGGAATTTCATTATCTTTCAAACGATAGGTTTGAACAATATCGGTTCGGTAGTTCCCGAGAAAATCTTGGCACAGACAGGCAGACAGATAGACCAATGGCTAAAAATGTGTTTTTCGGACTCAGGGGGCTGTAAAACGTATAGATCCGTCGAAAACCTCATGTCGGAAATTTGACCCGATTGCAATACTTTCCTTACCTAGTATAGGTAGGAAAGTAAAAAACAGAGTTCGTCCCATTTTAGTTCATCAATTTTTATCAATAAATAAGGTAAAAATTCACACAAACGTTCTTTAAACGATTCCATCAAGAATGTACTTAGTGACTTTTTCCAATAAGCCAACGATATGAACTGTTTTCTATGAAAGTATGTTAATTCCATTTAAAATATACGGAGATATTAGGGATTTGTATATGAAAGGTTTCAAAAATATTGGTACATATTAATACGCTCATTATATGCTTTTTAAGTAATAAATTGATTTCATTTTATAACAGAAAACAGAAATATCGAAATTAGATATTGTTATTTTTCTTTCGATATTATGATGATATACAATCCTTTGTTTGGATACGATATTGAGCCATATCGAAAGAATATAAAGCTATCTATTGATTTCAATATTATCGCACAATCCTAGACATAATTGTTTTCGTAGCTGTGTAACTATGTATAAATTGAAAATAATTATACATAATTATCCGAAGAATATTTGAGAGACTACCGACTTGGTAGAGGTCTCAGGAATAATAACCTAGGTTTTACTTTTATTTACAATTGTGAATTTACAAGGAATTTAAGCGACCTTGCATTGGTGCAATTTTCATCTACCAGCCGTGACATCAATGTTTGATCAGTTATTTACTATGTCAATAATGACTTGCCTCAGAATAAAGTTATTTTCTATCTATCTAAAAAATAATTTATTAAAGGTGCGAATGTAGGTCTCAGCTTTTACTTAACCGTGAAGTTTTATATAATTGGCACTTAATAAATTCTTTTAAATGTATTAAGATTATTTTAAAAAGGGCTTTTTTTCTTTTAAATATATTCTGCTCTTATTAAAACGGAACTCTATGGATGTGAGATAACGAAATAGGTTTTGAGTGAAGAGAGAGCGAAGATTAAGGCCCGCAGCTGAGTTTTTGAAAATGAGAGGAATGATTCAATTTTAATTCTTTTCATATAAATAGTTGTTATTTTTAATAATGAGAAAACTAAATACTCTGCAGTAATTTTGTTGTATCCCAATAATATTGTAGGCCACCTTTTTCTTTTCTTTCATTTTTATGATCATATTATCTTACGATTTAAGTGGAAAGCAAATGGGTAATTAAATTAATTAATTTTATAGAGAAAACGCCCTATTTCTGTGAATTTTCATATATAAAAATATTGTAGGTTACAAGATGAAGTATGTATCACTGCACTGTGTTCCTGGTTTAAGAAAAAACCATTGATTAAGAAAGCATTTCATTATTTTAGAATAGATTCGTTGTAAAAATTTGGTTGTAACTTTATTCAACTTCTTATTCAATAATGCAACATATATTTTCTTAGAAAGATATCATTTTTTGGACCATATTTAATAAAAATAAGAATCATCTATTCAATGCTCTCTTTAGGGACAATATAAGTTTGGTTTGTATTTAGTGATAAATAATTAAAATATATAAATATATATGAGAAGGAGTTGATCGGGGGGTGCGGTCAAATTAATAATAAATTAAACAAGTAGAATTATTTAATTTTTGCCGTTTGTTTTGTATCTTTTGAAGTGGGTCGAAACGTCGGCAAAAATTAAATAATTCTACTTGTTTAATTTATTATTAATTTGACCGCACCCCCCGATCAACTCCTTCTCATATTATATCAACGGTCAACCATCTCTACGTCATTATAAAATATATATATATTTCTTAAAATAAATATGTTTCGACATTTATTTTAGTTGGTGCATGCTCTTCTCTCACCCTGCTGATTTCACACCTGTCTGCACAACAGAATTGGGAAGAATTGCTGTCCACAAAAATGAATTTTGTAAAAGGAACGTTAAGATTTGTGCGTTGTCTTGTGACAAACTTCAAGCTCACACCGATTGGGTCAATGTAAGTATTAGTTGGTTTTAATAATTACACAATAAAAGTTTTCTCATAAAACATAAATGTATTTGAAATAATAAATTTTAATTGCAAAAACAATCCTTAATTTGGGAATTGAAAGTCTCTCGGTTTTAGCTAACAAGCATCAATTACATATCTAAATCATTGTAATACAATTTTCAACATCATAAAAAAATTGTGTTATATAATTAGGATCGAATCGTCAAAACTTTTAATATTTTCATATTAAATGAAAAAAAAAATTAAATACCTCCAATGCTTCTTTGATATCTTGAAGGCTTTTCTACTTCTTAGCTAACATAATCCTATTTATGCCCAGAAAAATAGTTTTTTTAAATTTATTGGTTAAAAGTATATGGACAAATTCCTTAACTCGGCTCAATTCCATCTATCAATCGATAGAATCTATTAATTGACTAAATCCAACACCGAAGGATAGGGATTGACGCTGAGATTAGGAACGCGGAAGTTTAACACTACTTAGAAGGTTTAAACAAACATGAAAAATATAACCAAAGATAGGAAAATAATTATCTACTAAATCGTTGAATTTGATAAACATAAGTTTAAAATAATAGAGATCAGTTTGAAAGTCAACTAAATATAAATATGTAAAGTAAATTGAGAAATAGCAACATTGATTTTATTGAGTTAAAATCCAGCTCATTTATCTAATCCAATAGCAGATGGAACTGCTGAGCCATCGGTGATTATATCGATGAATAAGGAAACATGCTGAATTCCTTTCAATGGGTGCTAAGTTTAGAAACTCGCCTTATCCTTGGGAGTTTATGGATATAATCATAAAATTATGCAGTGAGAATTTTTTCAACTGATTCTTACTTTAATATTGACTGAAATAGCAATGGTTCTAGCAGTGATTAGATCAATTTATATGATTAACCTAATGTTCATAAATTATATCTTTTGCAGGACATAAAATCATACTGCCGAGACATTCCCGGTGACTTTCCATACCCCATTATCTCCGATGATACTCGAGAGATTGCCGTCAAGCTGGATATGCTAGACGAGAGAGATCGTGATAATGAAGACACAGCCATGACTGTAAGGGCCCTCTACATTATTGACCCAGAGAAGAGATTAAGACTTTCTATGGTGTACCCAACTTCTACAGGCAGAAATGTCGAGTAAGTTTTAACTAATTTTACCATAATAGCTCAATATTTTCAGTGTTTCTTGTTAATTTCATTTCCATTATATGATTAATATAAACCGACAATAATTGATTTTAATCTGACATAATTGGATACTTGCAAGAATTTTCACTTTTTATTCATGGATAAAGATTATGTTAAAACAATAAAAATACATAAAGTCTCGAATTTTTCTGTTTAATATTTACAAAGATAATTATTGTTAAAGAAAAGTGGTGGGGACACCGCCATGTACCTTATATCTTTTTGCTTAGAATAATATTTCCAGTTTCAAAACTTTTATCCAAGAAGTAACTTTACATTGTTTCTCTAACTCTGTCGTCTCTGAATAGAAATATTTAGTTTAAAATTAATTTAATTCCTTTTTATAATGCATGTTTATAAAGTAGTGCTAACAGATGTTTGGGAACTGCAGTGAACCAGGGATGGGCAAATCCTACTTCAAGTACCGAGTTACAATTCTTTTACTCAAATTGAATCACTATTAGGAATTCAATCACTGCTTTAGTTATTGTTAATCGTTTGGAATCAACTGAAGTAGAAATTAAATTCTTTGGTACTCAAAAAAGGTCTGTATTTGAGTAAAATACTTGATACTCCATACTCAGAGTGGCTTTGCCCATCTTTGCAGTGAACGCAGGCCACATACCCAATCCCCACCATATCTCCCAAACGCACTTTTATTTCCAGTTCTTAGCTAAATATGGAACTTTTTTATTTGTATTTAAAAAATTTAATCTCAGTCTAACCGCTCTTTAGCACTTGAATTCTATTACAGTCCAAATTTATGTAATTTTTTCCATGCTCTTACTATAACAAAACAATAATAGAGACCTGAATTTTTCCTGACTATATATTCCATATATCGGTAAGTGAAAGTAAAAATATCGAATATAACTACTGATTTGTTTTTATTAGGGCTTTCCATAGTATAAGTTTCCATTATCAGTTTATAACTAATGAGTAATTATGTAAATACAAAATAAAAATGCTTTTCCTCTATGACACAGTAATTTTAAGTTTAGCATAGATATTATTTAATTTATTCTTTTTTGTTTTTTATAGTGAGATCTTAAGAGTAATTGATTCCCTTCAACTCACTGATAGATTGAAGGTTGTTGCGACACCAGCAAACTGGGTGGTAAGTTTATATTATTGAATATTATATTTAACTTTTAATTCATATTTCAATAAGCTCAACAAAGCCACGAATATGATATATATTGCATTTTTTATATTGAATTCCTTTCCACCATTTGAAATTATTTATCTTCAATGAATTCTTACATTTAGTGAAATAAAATTTAGAATTTTATGGAATGTATCATCACATGTGGTGATTACTTAGTACTTTATATTTTTTATTATTAATGTAATGTATACTTAAATTATATTTTAACATCAAATTGTTCTAGCCTGGCGATAAGATCATGATCCTTCCTTCTGTGAAAGATGAAGACTTGCCGAAATTATTTCCCAAGGGTGTTGATAAGGTTTCCATGCCATCAGGAATAAACTACGTCAGAACCACCACTGATTATTAAAATAAATGCTACTTTAAACAAAAAAAAATATATAAATCTAACATAAATGACAATTATATGTTAAAGAAATGAGTGAAATAAACAGTTTATAATTGAATCACTTTTATTTGTATTATTAATATGTAAAAAATTAAGTTTTCTTAAAGGAGAACATAAAAACCTATTATTTCTTTAAGATTAGTTAGTAAAAACTTTCATGTTTTATTTCTCTTTCTTATTTTACATAGTAGCAGACTGCTTATTACACTTGTCAACTATAAAATGCCACTTTTAGCACATATAGAATAAAAATGAAGAATTGTTATATATGACTTTTAGCACTAACAGCAGCGATATGCCCTTTAAAGTGAAAGATGTAGAACATGCTTAATGATCCAGCACATTTTGAGCTTTTCATAATTTCAAGGCAAAAAACAAACTTAGTTTGTCAAATACATTTGTTATTAATTAGTTTGTTATTAACAGCAATGGAAGTTGATACTCCCAGGGTGTGCACATTAAACTGCCTAATTCACATCAATTATGGTCAGGTTTTTAAAAGCTAAACATACTTGACTTGGATAAGATACCTTTGCATGATTCAGATGTTGAGGGAGAGTGCTTTGTTTACTACTAATACATAACGGGTGCATCCAATAAATAGCGGTCGAATATCCTATTAGTATTTATTTAAAAATATTTAATTATTTTATAGCTACAACTTAATGAGTTATCAAATAATGTAAATAAATTACCTATTATTTTAGTAATGTTTTTTATTTTATTTGAAATGGTCAGCAATCAAGATATGGGGGATATTTGTATTAAAGACAGTCATTTACTACAAACTTAATCGATTATTTCAATAAATTTATAAATATTATCCAGTAATTCTAGGATTAGTCTTAATTTTTCCATGCTCCATGAAGGACATTTTTGTTCCTTGAAATGGGAGAATGGTGCATAAAGATAAGTAAAAAAAACAAACAAAAATAGCTTTATTGGTATCAGAATAGTTTCTAATTAAAGACTTTTTGAATATAGTTTAAAAAAACAAAACAGACAAAACATTTTGTGAAGTGAAAGGTTTTATAGAATAAAATTCTTTGATGCGTCTTATGTAAACTTAATTTTAATAAATAATTCTGACTAGTATTCGCCCAGTGGTCGAAATTCGACCATAGCCATTAAAAATTTAAGGAAAACATTTAATTAAATAAAAATTAAATTTAAAAAATAAAGAGTAAATCACGATTCTCATTTATTAATATGAACAAAATTTCAATTTCAATTAAAAATCAAGCTTAAACTATTTAAAATTATTTATAAGTAATACAAAATAGACCCATTCAAAATATTTAATTTCCATTTTAATTTGTGTTATCACAATAAATTAATGTTGTGATTAAGCAAGTGTAAAAAATAAATTTAAATTAGCCATTTCAAATCAGTTTAAATCCATTTTTATGCAGGACTTCTCTGTAAACAATGTTCTGTTATTGTTTCGTACATAGCCTTGCCCATTGCCATTGAAAATATAAATTTCAAAAATTTAAATGAAAGTAATCTACTTGCTGCCACATATGATTGTCCATGCTAAATTACTAGACGTCGCAATAATACACAAATTTATCCAAAACTTTGATCCTCTGATTTGATTATGGTCACAGTAAATGCAGCTATTAATAAGAACGTTGTTCGAATGGATTATTGTGTCAGAAAATATTAAATTAATTCTTGGAATTAAAATTCTTTTATTTAAAGTATCTCCCCTTGATACTTCACTCTCATTTGTGTTCCATTAACTAATGTTTGTGCAGTATTTAAGTTAAGAATGAGTATAACTATAGAATTTATTTTTAAATTTAATTTATGAGCTAACATTCAATAATATCATCTCTTCAAATAGTAGCTCCAATTACTTCATTAAATGTAAAGTTTTTGATTTATCAAAAACCAAAATAATGGAAATCGAGTTTGCAAAAGAAAAATTACTAAATGTTTAAAATGATATATCTCTGCAACAAATAGTCTGGTTTCGAATTATTTTTTATTTGGTAGAGAATTCAGGAAGCTTTAAAATAAATATTAGTTTTATCAATAAAAATGTGTAATTTCTGAGTTATTCGCAAATAAAATACTGAATTCATCATAAAAATGTATGCAGCTTGTTTTCAGGAAAATATGTTATATTTTCTTATATGTTATAGTTTATACATAAATTATAAATGTTTCAAGGGGAAGACTTAAGCCAAGTTTCATTAAAATCATTGAAACCGTATTGGCGCTAGTCTAACGCAGATCATGTTTTTCGGCTGCCATTTCGAAAGTAAAGGACGGTGATGGAACGCATACAAAACCACTACTAAATATTATTGCGACGTTGTGTTAAAATTTCAAAGAAATCTGTGAAGAACTTTCGGAGATAAGCCGTTTTGAACAAACTACCATTTATATATTTATTTACAAACTATTTCATATTTTTATTTATTGATAACACTAAAGCTCATCAATATCTATTAAACAAAAAAAGAAGGAAGAAAATCGTTCGAATAATAGAGGAGAAAAGGGGCTGAACCGGTTAGTGTTTGCCTATTTATATGATTAATAATAAAGCTGCACTTGGGGGTTCTTTAGCTAATAAAATTACTTCTTCCATTTCAGTCAGGCATTCTGCAGATAACAGTAGATGAGAATGTATAATATAAAGAATGTAAATTAACCTAATTACTGACTGCCAACTATTTATGCTAGGCTATTTTACAAAAACTGCTTACCCATAGCGGTTGAATTATGAGGTTAACCTGAACTATAAAATGTTAATACTAACCAGTATAAAAATATTTGCCAGCCAGCCTACAATCTACAAAATGATTTATTGTAATATTTTGAGTAGAAAATATCCTGAAGAAATATTTTTAGAATTGGTATATTATCGTATCTGATTTTGAATTTATTATAAATTTTTAGTGTGATCATACAGTTACAATTATTTTGTTGGTTTATTGTAAAAATTTATTACGTAATATTTTATAAAACTAAATCCTTAAGCACATTACTAAATTTCCCCTCTGAAAAATCAAAACATTGTGCACTTGGTGTAACTTCGATATAACAGAAGGCGAGTATTACTAAGTAATTTTCAGTGTTAATGTTTTGACAAATTTTGTTGACAAAAATTGAGCTCCATGAAAAATTAATTTTAGACTTAAGAGTGACTTATAGCCATAAACTGGATTTATATTTGTAATGAAATCATGTCAGATAATGAGTTATCATTAGGTAATTACTAAATCAGCATTTTAATTATTTTCGTTTAAATTAATCATTTAATTTTGTTTAGGCTAACAAAAAAAAAAAAAAAAAAAAAAAAAGAACCGTAGGCAAGAGGATTATCATCAATATAACAATTGATTGTTATAACAACTTCCCCAATATAACAAAATCTGGTGTGATGCATCCATCACACAAATTTCATTTACCACCCTCTTCTAAACAGAAATAATTATTTTCAGACAAAGGGGAAGTAAAGTAAAAATTATAAACGCTATATTGATTTATATTTCATTGTGGGTATTTTTATTTGTATTAGTACCCTTATAAATTAAATATTAAATAATACCAACAATAGCATTTATGAAAACTGTATATGTATATTTACATATTTTCGGAATCCTTAATATATTAAGCTTAGGTTACGTATAGAAGCATGTTCTAATCTTTCGGACGAGCTCGTATTCCTTAGGTTCCTCAACTACAGCTATTTACCGTTATGATCTCTCATTTCTCCTTTAGTTAATTATCAAATTATTTCATATTTAAATATCTTTTATATTATAGATAAATGTGAGTCAATTTAAAAAAAAAAAATTTAAGGTACTTTTTTTAACTAGCTAATATTGAAAATGAGCTATTTAAGCCTTGTTAAAAAAGATCAATCAGAATAAAACCTATATTTTATTTAAAAATGCTCAATTTTACATCGTTAAAATGAATTTAATGAAATATTTAAGAGACGTTTCAAAGATTATCGTAAAAATGTGTTAAGTCCATGATATAACATAAAGTACCACATCCCAAGCATATAACAACCTTAAATATGCAATTTCACTTTCATACTACTTCTTGTTTTTTTAGCAAGACTGTTACACACACACACACACACACACCATTTTGCGGGACTTGGTTATTTCAACTCGGGGGAACTCAAAACATGTATTTCTGTTGAAAACTCAGATTCAAAAACTTTCACGATTGCAATACTTTCCCTTACTATACATTTCATGTATAGGTAAGTGAAACTAATAACCTAGAACCATCATACTTTCAACTGCTTTAGGAGCAGTATAGATATGACATCATACCTAGACAGCCGAGCAGTACCAATGAAATGGGCTCCTTTGTATTCCATTAAAGCAGTAGGTATGGTGAGAAGTAACGGCAGCAAAGCAGGAATCATTCAATATTTCAAAAATGAAAATTGCTACATATTTGAGATTAAGGGATAAAGATAGAAAATGAGACAAATTTAATTTAAGACTTGATGAACTAAATAAAGTTTGTATATTCTTACAAATGGTTTACAAAAGAACACTTTTTATCATTAATTTATTAGCTAGCACAATACTAAACATTTTGCAAACTAATTATTAGCTAATGATAATATTTTCTTATAACACAAACTGGTATCACTCAATAAAACGACAACATAAGGCAAGACTTGCCTAGTAAAAATAAATCTATTTCTAATCTATCTTATATAAACAATTATTTACAATATTATTACATTATAATTTAGTCTATATTAAATATGGAGGAAGGTCAGCAGCAATTTCTCGTTAGACTTACACATATGATCAATAATGTCCATATCCCACTGAAAACAAAAACGAAAAATATGAGATATCAAATAAATAACATTAGAAAGAATATAAAATGATAACAGTGCACAAATAAATTCATCTAAATAGAATGGACTAAAAATTCAAATGGGGGTCTCACCCACAGTAGTTAAGA